TCCCATACATTGAAGCCAGATAACCTCTTGATCTGCGATAAGACAGAGTAAAGAGGTCTAGCTTTTCAAGCCGCTCTTTGTATGGTTAACTCCAGAGTTCTGGAATTGCATGTGTAGCTGCTCAGAATAGTTTTTCTGGATGTCCAAGTCACATTTCAAACATGGGCTTGAAGCTTGAGTGCAGTTACCAAGCTCAGTCCTCACCAAGCCGTAGTCTTAGGAGCACGACCCACTGTCACCCCATGACACATGTGGGACCGAACCACAAGTATAAGCGCCTCCTCTATGCTGCATCTATTTACCTTTGTATTCTTAGAATGCATGTAGACAAACTTTGCCGCATTGATAGGCTTCAGACACTCTTTAGACCAGCTAATTACAATTTTCGAAACCGCCTGAAGTACGCATGCATCCGCATATTATATTATTTCTCGCCAGGCTTTTATATCATCAGCGTGTAATGGCATTAAGGACTCAACTATACGTTGAGGTTCATTTACACACATTGTAGAAAGTAAAGGACTTAGGGCAGAACCTTGCGATACTTCAATAAGTACTCGTCTCCTGGTGAAGCACTTTGAATTCACTCTTGCTTTCCCCTTACGACCTACCATGAAATACTTGAGACATTATAGGAGAAGTTCGGCAATGCTAAGATTTTCCAGTTTCAAAAACAGTCTATTTGTTGGCACCTCATCAAATGATTTGCTGAAGTCTATGTTAACAACATTCACTGCTTATCCATTGTTCAGAGCCTCTATCTATCCCTCTCTTGTTATAAGGAGATTTGTTGCATAAGATGAACCTTTTCTTCAACCGCATATTTTGCTGTTGAAAAAGTTATTGGTTCCCACCCATGTCATTATCGACTTTTTGACGATTCTTCCCAGTATCTTAACTACGACACTGGTAAAGCTGACATCTCTGTGGTTCGATCGAAAGTTGTCATAGTTCTGTTTTATGTAATGGAGTGACGACTAAATTCTTTTATTCCGTAGGTAACATACCTTAACGAAGTGACATATTGAACATAGTAGTCAATGGAGCAGTAATATATTGTGCAATTTAGTACGAGATTTCAGAATGTAGTTCATCTGGTTCTGTTGACATTTCTGTCTCTAAAGTGCCAATAGCCTTAAGTACATCGACTTTGTCGAAGTCCACAGTAAGCAGATGGTTTGTTGATTGTGTTTAAGTCTAGCTGTTCGTCTAAAAGACGTGTAGAAATACGGTCTACCTCGTTATTAGTACTTCTCTAATAATATGCTTAATCCTAAAATTGTAGATTTGTAATGACATAAGTGTTTGATCTATAAGATCTTACGTGGAATTCACATCTTCGTCTACACTAACTCATCGCATCGTTACGATTACCTATACATGATGGAGAACAAGCTTAAGCTGGAGATATGACAAAATATTTAATATGAATAAGAGAATCAAGATAGCATTCAACAGGGACCACGCCTCCAAGGCCGAACAATGCCATCCGATCAACCCGAATTAATTCAACACATTGTTCCCGCCCTCTCCATCGTTGGGTTTTTCCTCGCCTTAAGTGTCAACTATCTATTTTTCCAGTTGTCTCGTGTTCTGCTTTGAGGATTGTGTGGTTAGTGCCCAATACCACTATACTACTCTCCCACCAGAATAAACGTGATGCGGGTTCGATACCAAATTGAATGGGATTATCGCGCGCCGGTGGTTACTAAGATTAATATGAGTCACCCAGATATTGATAAGCTGAAAAATGAATCAAAAATGAGGCGACAACTGATCGGGAAATACATGTAATAACTTTAAAACATGTTAAAATTAAAACCCACATGAACATTACTTATACACCAAGTATAGCGAGATTATAACAAGGAAGAACGATATTTTAACAAGCCACAATAAAATACATGGTAATAACACTTGGTGAATGGCTTCGCGTTAAATATTAAGTATCTGATTTCTCAGTCATCTCGAGTTCAGCTTCGAGGATCGTGTGGTTAGTGCCCAATGCCACTACAGAGGCTCCTGAGTGAAAAATGTCCCGAAATAGTTTGTCATTGCCTACGCTTTTCTTGATAATCCTCTATCACTTAAGATTCACTCTCTTCCACAAATAAGTTGGAAATTCAATGCTGCGTTTTTGTCCCGTAATTCAGGTGCGAGAATATTCTCTTAGGATGCTTGATTGCAGATTGAGCTAACCACATTTCATGTATTTTCTGTGCTTCCCAGACTTCAGTTGCAGGCTCATTACTTAATGACCTGTAGCGTTCCATCGTACTTGTTGTTTTAAGGCTAATGGCAATGTTCCAACACATATTCTTTTGTTTTAATAAACATCTTATATCCCAGTCTATCCAGGGATTACCACGCTTCCCCATTTTCTTTACAACTATCCAGAGTATAAAATGTTGGGTCACTTGATTGTATAACCGCCGAAAATGAGTCCATGCTGATGCTCCTAAGTCGATTATATAGTTTTCAACCGTGGCCGCTGAGTTGATCACTTTCATGTCTGTCTTCCATATATTAGAATGGTCCAGTGCAATTGTTCGACAGGCTTTCTCAGCCACGAACTTGAATAAGATTATCTCATGATCACTTCTCCCGAAGGGTGGGAGTAAAGTCATCTGGTTGGTACTATCACCGTGTGTGAAAGATTAGATCCAAGAGAAACGGGGAGTTTTGTAGGTTCTATCTACTGGGATCGCTAATATGCTGGCATAAAGTTAGGACAATTGTGGTTTCTAACAATTTGCAACCGCATGATTTTGTTGATGACCCTACCTCTATGTATACCCAGTTTACGCATGGTGCATTAAAGTCGACTACCATAATGCTTTTGCCTCTATTACACCAGAGGAAGCCATCTACTACACATTCTGAACTGCGGTATACTACATGTGATTCAATAACTCACGTTTACAATTCAGATTACAACACATCAGTTCACATATAATTAAATCACGTGTCACTGTCTTGACAGCTCATATAGCTAAGGTAAATTTCGTGCACAGGAAAACCTCGCCTCTCCTGGGTTTAATCTGTCAGCCCTGCTGAATGAAAAATCAGTGTCCACCATTATCTTGAGCTCCACAATTTTGTTTTGTAGGCTGTGAGCATTTGTATAGCACAACTTCATTTCTGTGAGAAGCTGTCCCTTAACACCTAGAGTGGTTTGGGGATCGTTTTACTCCGAACATTTGCAGTGAGAATATACTTGAGCATAATGTTTTGTCACCGTTCAGCAGAAGCGAATGTAAAATTTTGGTGGCATGTTTTCAGTATACTTTCTGAATCCACTTTTTGTCCCATTCTATAGAGCTTACAGACGCTAACTCCTGAAACAGCTCCTGAGAGTAGCTTGCTTATTAAAGACTCAATACGGCTGGGGTCGTGTTCAAATCAAAATTTTTGCTCCTGTTCGTAGAATTCTCATAACGTACGAAAAGTAACTGATCTGTCAGCGAGAAGTTTTACTTACGATATGTATCGGCCGCAGAGTTATAACTCTTCACTTACTTTTCTTTTTCTGAGCGTAAAGACAAGCCAATCATTTATCACTTCATCGAAACGTGGTTTCGCTTTCTATAACCCCGTAATTCCCAAGTGAAAAAGTCGTGTCCGAACTCTATCTGAGTAACAACTCCGTTTTTTGACAATTATGTTTTCAAGACGCATTGGATAACTCACAACTCTTTCATAGTCGGTTCGTAAAACGATAGTGTTTTAGTCCAAAATGTCAGTTTATTCATAATTAGTGAAAATGACCGACCACTTTCCTCGTTACTCAGTGCAGCGGTAAATGAATCCCCAAAATAAATAGTTCTGTGAGCCTTTGACACTGATACTGGTCTTACTGGACGCACCTAGCTGAAGGCATTTTTCCACACATCCGCACCATGTCACGAATGCATACGCCGTGCTACGCAGCCTGTGCAACTAATAGCCAGGCAAGACCAAAAGCTTTCCGACATATTGATAACCCACCAAATATGGCCTCGAACTCTTTCATTTCTGACTACATTATTTGTTTGTAATGGCATCCTTCAACTAAAAATGTGTTATGCATAAAGATATTAGAACAACACATATAAGCGAACAATTGTTTTCAATTAGATCGTCATCAGGCTTTACTCTAATATACATGAATATTTATACGAAAATTTTAAAACAATCAAGGCAATATGGGTCAATCATCACAATGAAATAGAATTAGTCTCTACACATAATAGGTAAAAGTACAAGTTGATAGCAGTAGGAAGACAGGTGAACTGATAATAGTGAGAATAATAAAAATACAATAACAAAACTCTTATCAATAGTTAATCGTTGGAAATAGAAGGTCAAACAAACATGGGTATAAATATTCATGTATATTAGAGTAAAGCCTGATGACGATCTAATTGAAAACAATTGTTCGCTTATATGTTTTGTTCTAATTTTCACAATGGGAATCTTTAATATTCATAAAGATATTGTCAAACTCCGAATTTCTGTGGCGTCTTCGAACTTATGGCATCACAAACATCACTGGGCACCACTTTAGTTCTTACATAAGTTCAGTTCCAACACAAACTATATACGCAACCCTCCAAAGTCAGAGGCATAACATAGCGTAATAGACTGCAGGCATATTTTTCGCACCTTATAAGTAGTCGAATCCTGGGATTCGCTGTCGGTTAAGGTAGCACGAGTGACTTCTTAGAAGTCCCTTAAGCGAAAACCTGACATATTCTCAAGGAATAAGAATACTGCATTTTACTACAATACTACACTTCGTCGTTAACTATACCTAGGCTCCTACCTGGAGACATCGAAGTTCACTAACTACTATATACAGAAGCCCGCTTGGCGGAAGATTCTTTAAGTCAGCACCTATCTTGACTGGCAAAGATGACGCAAATATCAATTATTATTCTGTTGATTATTAGTATTCACTGGAGCGTAGGATAATTCCAGCCAACTGATTCATTTGTTTTATCGTAGCCACTGAGAGGGAAGTATGAAATTATTGGCTCTCAAGGGCGACGCACGTAATCCAGCTTCTGGAGGTTACGGTGTAGATAATCGAAGAGTGGCTAGTAGGGTGCGGTTCTGACCTTTACAAGAACCGTCAGCTGGTAGAATTCAGCTTCACTGCGTCATAGTACATCTTCCGTTTGGTATAATCTTCGTTGAAGCTATCTTAACTTATTGTGCTAGACCTGTCTGTGATGATTCTGCGAAATCACAAACTCACAACATTTTGGTATTCAGGCCACTAAAGATTCGCAAGTTTTTCAGGTCTAGAGTTTTTTTCAAAGCATGATCAGATTTTTCCCAGCATTGGACTTTCCTCCCGAATTTTACCGATCGGTAAACTGAACTGACACATCGAGGTGTCATTTCAAAAGTACAATCTACAACATACCAAGAATAACAAGCTGTAATGACTTACCCGCACCAATTTGGAACGAATACGTTAGTGCAACATTAATGAGCATATAACCAAACCGATAAAAAGTGAAAATAGTTTTTGATCGTTAGTTTTAGAATATCCTAACGAAACATATGACTATATGCATGAAGAACGCCACTTTTTCACGTACACTTTCTTACAGTGCTTACGTATTTATTATTTTGTATCGTGCATGTAAGCTCAGTATGCGAAAACAGTTTTATTCTTAAAGTCTTTCCCATGGAGTCACTTGGTTTTGAATTAGTAACATAACACCTGATCGATCAAATTTCCCGCAACTCTGACACTGAATTGCTCGGTAAAAACGGTAATAATTTAAGCTGGTTTCGTTTTTAGTCCCGTGCAGTGCTTATTAAGTTGCTCATTTGCGTTGGTAGAACGTAACTCAACAGTGATTTCACCGCTTTTCTAGGTTTTGTCTCACTGGTATTCTATAAGTTTCCTATCTTGATTGTAACAAAAACAATAGCAACTTGCGAGAGCTCACAGTACAAGATGTTCTAACGGTTTTTTAAAAATATGGGCCTAGTAACTTATGTATTTTATTTCTTGGAAGTCACTGGTCTCAATCCCAGTTGCATAAACCGGAGGAACTCCAAATCACAAAGTCCGCGAATTAACGTCAAGTTCGTCCACCTGTACTTGTTTACTAATTTGCTGGAAAGTTTAGAATCCCTGGTAGATCCTATATTTTGCTTACATCCTTCATTTTCTAGGATAGCAATCCTTTTTTCCGTGTCGATTACTCATATACCGAGAGACCTGCCATAACAAAAGTGTGCATTGCTCTATACTTCGACTAAGAAAAAAATTGTCTTGCGAAATGCCTATCCGGTCAAAACGAAGTCTGCTAAAAGTACTACTCATTGAGGTTAGAATCGGACAAAATATTAAAATTATTAAATTAAAACGCGTTTCACAAAGCGATCTTCACCGTTTTGATAAACTTAATGCACCTAACTCTCCAGAAAATTATATATTTAATGCTAATCCACACTATTGAGGATCATATCACATATAGACTAAGAAACAAGAAATGCTAGTCTTTCCATATGGTATCTCTTGGTCCCATCATTCTTGCTGTTAATAACCGAAAGTCTAAAGTCGTAACTTGAGAGACTCAATATGTTTATGGAAAATAAAAGCCACTGTACTAGTTGAAACCAAGCTAAGTTTTTCACACAGTTTCTGATGACCGTCTAATTGTGTGCTGTAGTTAACAATGCCCTCGTCCTTACATCTTGTTGATTGAGAAACGCTTCAAAATTTGTGTGAACTTGGTAGTATTGTACCAGCCTGTACTATTAGACCGTTATATTGTTCGCTGGATTGTGGACTTGATACTCTTACCAATTTAGGATTGGAGGATGAACAATTAGAAGTAGCTGGATAATAACAATATTAATTCGCAAGTGATTGGAAGTATGAAATGGTAGCTCATTGGTTAGGGCGTGTGACTTCCATGCATTTAGTCTCAGGTTCGGACTCCGATTTACTGACTCCTTCTGGGCTACCGGATAGGATAACTTCTCTTCACATTTAAAGCGTGGTTTGGACCCGAGAACACGTTTTTTGTCAATAGTAGTGGTAATAAAGTAAAAGCTTAAGCTGCTCTAAGCTTTATCGAGACAGCTATAGAAAATCTAACAGGTTCATCATTATGTCATTATTGGCTTTCGCTTTAAGATTCCTAACCTTCTTGCTCGATGTCTGGCTCTATTATTATTTTTGTGAATTATGGATTACATTTATTTGCAATGCTTGCACATGTAGTATTTCAGTCCGGTGATTTATCAACTTTTTCTACCTCCATCAAATACTACTTCACGTTTAAAACGTAACTGTATGCTTGTTAAAACTCCTTTTCTTTGCAGAAAATTGCGTTTTTGTCTTCCTTCTGGGAAACAAATGAACGAATCCTTAGCTAATGGGATTATCAAACCTATGATTTGTGGTTTATGCAGGAAAACGTCTTCATATATCTGTCCTCGATGTAGCATTAATTATTGTTCACTGACTTGCTATCGAAATGAAGCGCATAAAGACTGCTCTGAATCATTTTACCGAGATTGTTGTATTGAATCACTGCGCTGTACCTTTTCTAAGAAATCAGAAAGATCACACATGAAAGAAGTGTTAAGGCGTGAATCATGTGCTTTATCAGATGACTTCCAGTTAGCAAATGTGAAATTTCAGGTAGACAATGATTATACAGATGATAAGAATGAGAGTATTGAAGATGATTTGCAAACTCGGTAAGCGTTTCTTGTTCTTTTTCATCAATAGTTTAGTTAATTTCAAACATGATTTGTTACATGAAAATATTTTTTTTGTATAAATAGGAAAAAAACTTAACATTTCTTGGATTTAATTATATTAAAATTATATGACTTCTGTCATGTTGACAGGTTGTCCTCAAGATCACTAGAAAATTTCTGCCTCCATTTGTGCATCATATAAGAATATGAACATACCTGATTGCAAACAAGATTAGATCACGGACCAAGCGTTTTTGAATCGGGATTATAAATTAGATTAAATGGGTAATTCTGTGATCCAATCAAAACCCAATAGATTGAAGGATTTATCAGTAACATAGCATTCGGATTTGATTATTAGATCATTAAATTTGACTGAACATTTAGTAATTCTAGAAATTTTGATTGGGATGCCCGATGCGTTTTTATGCAACCGTTAGTAGGATGAATGCTTAGACGACCAAGTTCGTACCAAGTTTTGCGAGAAATCAAAGTAACATCGGATGCAGTATTCACCTGCAATGTGATAATACGATAAATACTTGCGTACACATTGGGGTTTATATTTGGAAAATACATGCATACAATTGATCCTTCTTGGCATTCGATAATGGGATGAGGGTTTGATACGTTTGCGAAATTACTACTTATGGTCAGTCAGTCCACATTTTGTGCATATTTATTTTTATTGAGTGGACAGAAACGAGAGAAATACCATGCCCCATAGTTCCATCAACTAGTGGAAGTCCTTGTAAAGCGACGTGAATTAGAGTCGTGGACATCACACGTTCGATTTGGGCTAGGAAATTTTCGCGGATTATGCTTCATGACAGCAATAGTGCGGTCTGAATGAGAGATTTTCATCAATAGGGATTTGGTTGTTCGATCATTTTAGTATCATTCTTAAAATTAATAATATGGCGACATTCAATTGTGTTATCTTTCAACGTAAGATTGGGATCTGACTCGATTCTGCTTAAAATTCTGGTACAAATATCTGTGTGTGACGATTGCACCCCATGTACAAAGGTAAAATATTTAAATTGTTCATCAGAAAGTGAACGCAACTTAAAACTCCGCATTGCTTATTAACAAATGCTGCATACGAAACGAAATCCTTTTCAGGTCTCCTAACAGTTCAAAGAAAATTACATCGCAAATTGATTAAGGGAGTCTGATCAGTAAACATTTTGGTTAGTTTTCGTACAGTAGAATGAAAAGAAAGATCGTTGGGTTTCTTTGGCAAGGTAAGGTTCGAACACTTCATGTTCAGCTGCTCTGAGCTTACGAATTAGAATTCTCACAGAGAAGTGATCATAATGGGAAAACTTAACTTGGAAGGTGTCTTCATACCTCTTGAACCATGATTCAAATGTGACACCAACACCAGGATCAAAATGAAACTCGTTCATTATGTTGGTCAGTGATTCGGTAGTCGAGCCCCTTAATTCGGACACACGTACTGAATTTTCTTGAATTGATAACTTCTGTGCCATCATTTCGACCATTTTCAAATGTGATGTTTGAAATTCTTTTTGATGATGCTGCAGTGTAGATTTAAGCTGACCATATTAGATCGACATTCTGGAATTTGTTTATTTTTACGTGGGTTTGACAGAAATATGTCGCCAGAAAATGTTGTTTCTGGCGGTGTCCGTAATCTGATACTGATACCCGGTGTTCTACGCATTAACCCCTCCAACTGACTACTTGGGCAAGTAAGGGTATTGGATTACCGAACAAAATCCACAAATACTCTTTCATACATATACCACTCTGTTCCTAGGAAATTTATCCAATTAAATGCACTTGTTTTTTGGGTCACTTCTAATGGCCATCGGTTGACCTTCTAATTAGGCTAATTCTGGTTGGCTCTCCATTTCACTATACCCGATATCAGTATTGTTTACTCGTTAATTAGGACTAACCAAAACGTTTGCGTATCTGGGTAGTTATATGGATGATGTTGGTGCCTTAGTAGATGAGATCAATCCAGTAATAACAAACCAGTTGAATTTTTGCCAACCTAGGCCATCTTTCGAACCGTCATGATATCAGCAACGTCCAAAAACTATCAGTGGGAGCAGTTCACTTCATGTTCTTTCTGAGTTGAGGATATTCGGAGACTATGCTCGATCAACGTTGTCTCCAGAGGAGTGCTGATATCCAATTGCAACACCATGTTAGATATGTTAAGGTCCTGGAATGTATGTTCGATTGCAGTGACGTCTATTCAGTTGGTGTTATCTTGAAATAACAACTTCGGTAGTTTGGTCATGTTATGAGTGTCATCCCAGGTTACCTCAAAATACACTTTGTGTCGACTCTTAGGTCGGTTGAAAAAAAACAGAGAGGTAATCCCTGTAAGATATGCCGTTGTGATGAGATGGATGTATAATAAGACTGGAATCTGTCAGTTCGTCACGACTTAATGATTAGGGTCTTAGATGTAGCACGACTCAGTGGTTTGAAATGTTACCATGTATACTTCAGAATAGAAGCCATTAGGTATACTGGTGTATTTTCCTATTGTATTATTCATACTAGTGCGATGAATTCTCTTAACTAAAATCTGCTTCTCTCAACTAAATTTTTAGTTATTTATTAGTTATATTACTCTTTCCTCCTCTATTTCTTCACAATATTATAGCTTCATTTGTGTAGTACATCTTGTATATTCTCTATTAAACCAGTTTACATGCACCGTAAATAAATAAAGCGCAGTTGATCTATCATAAATGTAAAACAATGACTTAAGTCTCCTTACGAATTGCAATAATATTTATGAAATACAGGACAAACTACACAGCAATCGCCGCTTGTTCCGTACAGCTATATCCTCCTAGGCTGGTAAAACCTTCAAGACTTATCCAGCTTCACGTAATAATAAGTATAGGCTTTTCGATTCTAAATCTCTTTAGATTATTTGAAAAATTTTCAACAAGTCTAATGCATGAATTTAATGGAGGGATCAAAGTTATATACCTCTTAATTTCATTTATTGCGTACATATATTACGTAATAGCATTATTGTCATTCAACGTTTTCTTAATAGTAGGTTAATTCTTATGCTTTGTTAATCGGAATAAAAACTTCGGAATGTTTTTGCTTCAGTTTGGGTGATTTAAATTTGGAAACCGAAGATGTTAATGTCATCTGGTCATGTTTGACCCTGAAAGAAAAACGAGATTTCAGTAGACTTATTCAGTCAAATGCTATCGTTCATTTCATACCAACATGGACTCCCTGGTGGTTAGAGCAAAAACCAATTATTGAAGAAGTAAATCAACAGAATGCTTCAGTGGACAAATCGCGAACCTTACCTAGTGTTCAATCGTTAAGTCAACTTTTGCCATCCGGAATATCGCCTCACCCTTCAGTTGGGTATATTTTAGCAGATGTATTGTTGGGATATGCTTTTGTTATGAGGTAAGCTAGTAACAACGAGTAATCCAATAAAGTTTTGTTTGGCTTTAAGTTTCCACTGATTTTGTTATAAAAATTAATGTTTCCTTGTATTTTATTGGATTTGTGTATGTCTGTTAATTAACTGAATAAACTCTAAACTTGAAACCGTAGTTACTGTATGATCCCATAGTACTGTCCAAATGAATATCAATCAAGCATTCTCAAATGTTTATGCAATGGAATGACATTTCAGAATTAAATAGAGTAAGACAAAAAGCCGGTTTCATTAATGCTTGTCTAGGCTAGAAACAGTTATTTTCATATTATTGTCCTTGGCTAACTATAACTGTAGTAAAACAAAGAAATCTCTCCGTAACAGGTATTTCTGACGTTTCAGAAAGTATTCTAGTTATTGTACCTGTACTTACAATTAACAATATATATACACTTTGATCAAAGTTAGTGATTATTGTGACTCATTGATCTAGTGGATAATGAGCTGGAATTTTAAGCGGTTTATTCTAGGTTTGAGTTCAGTGTAAAGATTAACACTGGAATCCAAATATATTCAGGCAAAAAATCGCAAACAAGAAAAAAATCGTTCTACTCCTGGCTCGTTTATCAAGAAATAGTTTTTTAAAAGGAATTTTGTGTCCATCTACTGTCTGTGTATAAATCATTTTTTCTACTTATTAAAGATTTTATAATGGTGACTACATGGACTTAATCGATGATGCAGGAACTCTTCTGTGTAATATAGTTTTATCATTCACAAAATCTCAGACTATTTCAGTCTCATCACTGAATACTACTACTTCTACTAATAATAATTCATCAGATTATTTAAAGAAAACAAGAATAATTAGAAGACAGAGTGGAACTAATCCAACTCATCAAATATATAACTGTATAAATGAAATTCTCGCCGCAATTCAATATAAACTTATGGAGCTAAATTTACCTTGTCATCCTTCAATTATGATACTATTGCTTGAAGATCTTAGTCATTTATTAGATAGTATTGGATTTTGTAATAAAGCACTGAAAGACGTGAATAAATTAATAGTGAATTTCAGGAAAACTCTACGTGCTGTAAATTCAAATGAAAACTTACGATTAAAAGCAAATGTTGCTCACCATAAAATAGTCTTTCTTCAAGCTTGCCTTGATGATAACAATCAATTGGCTAAACGTTGGCAAACAAATGTTTTACCAAAATTATGGAATCAAATATCTAATGAATTAATCCAACGAATTAATGATATTGAAAACTCAAGTACAGATAGACGTGATGAAAAATCTGCTGGTCCAAATTGGCGCAATATTATTCGAGATGAAAATGTCTACAAAAGTTCTTATTGTCGTACGTTAGTCGAGTCACTTGATACTAATAACTAAATGCTTCATAATTTCTTGAGTACCTGTACATAATATACATATTTTAATATTTGCTTATGGCAATAAATCTAACATTTTATCAGCTTGGTGGAAGTTTGCTACTACTTTGATAAAGTGGTTGAGGTTGCCTACCGTGACGACAGAGTTGAGGTTTATTGACAGGATCACGTGTACCATAACTTCTTAGCATACCAGAGATGTAAAAACCTCAGGTTAGTCGTACTACTGACCATTTTAAGGTGTAGGGTATTTCCCAGTGATGACCACCACCACCAATAATCCGTTTTCGTAGATGAGAAATTGTGAATTTCGCTTTCCTGAACAGCACGTTACTATTGTCGTACGAAATTACGATGCTGTTAGAAGTTAACTCGACAGAATCGATAGCTTACTGGTTTCGCGTTTGCTAAGTCATAAAGAAATCTTACGTCTAGTCATAGCGATTGATAGTATCAATTGGACAGGGAATATCTGCTACTCAATATACATTAATATATATATACTAATAGAACTACTAACATTGACAACCGTGAACAATAAACACATAAGACTTCGTTTCTTTTTTTCAGACGGGCTATTCCAAAGCGAAAAGCTAGAACTATACAGCTCATCAAAGATCGATTAGGCGAATAGCTATTCAATACAAATACTTTTACAAGGTAACTAAAAATGAGGCTAGGATACATCGTATTAACAAGTTAGGCAATAAAAGGGGGGGTTTTGAAAGCATTACATTGAAGGGCGCATAGGAGCAGAAGAAAAACTGTTCCCACAGTTTTAGTGAGGTATGTGCTACTGACGTCGATGGATATAAGTATGTATTACGAATCGAAAGTGAAATGCCTGGAGGCAGAAGATCGAAGAGAAAAAGACAGATAGTGATTGGTTTGGAAACGAAGGTGCAATCAAATCTGAGACAACTGAAATTTTGCAAATGAAGTATTTACTGTATGGTTTCACAGATTTTACTGAGAGATTCTGTAATTTTCTATTCAAATACATTTGGTTGCCCCTACTGGTGTTCTCGTTCACTACACTAGTGCTTAAGCAAATTCAAGGAATATTATCAGCAAGTAATCACCGGGTTTCAAACCACAATAAATTACATGAGCCCGTATGAAATAGGATGTTTCTTTACTAAATGGTACATCTAATGTGCGATAGCGTGTTTCATTTAACAGGTGGTAGTTCTGATAGACTGTGCCTTTTTTTAATAAAATATTTTCTATCAATAGTACAGGAGGGTTTCAGTGAAGAGACGCCTTCCTAAAGTTAACCTACTTATCGATTAAAAGATAATAGGACTGAAAAACTGGTATCAAAAAAGGGAGAGTACACAGCAGAACTATGAGAAATCCCAAAAAGTGAATTTAGAACGATTACACTAAACCACTTATCAAAGAAAAATCTCAGTGAAATAACTAAGTGTATGTCAGAATACTTGATTGGTCCATGTGTAAAAAGTAGCAGATGTCAATTAAAAACTTTTTTAGTTATGTAGAAGGTTCCTACTTGATTGGGTGAGAACAACTTCCATGTACGATGCAATACAAAAGCAAGTTGTGTCAGTAAGTATTGGAAATCATTCCAGAAACTGGGAGAATGCTTGTTTTAGCATGCAACTTGCGTAAATATTGGGGGTTAGATTCAGATAATACATGCATACAATTAATCCTTCTTGGCATTCGATAATGCGATGAGGGTTTGCTGTGTTTGCGAAATCCCTCCTTATGGCCAGTCAGTCCACATTTTGCAGATTTATGTTTATTGAATAAACAGAAACGGGAACTAAGCAATACTTGACAATTCAGTTGAACAGTATAGAAGCAAAGTTTTTATTTCTTAATTAAATAAGATTGTGAAAATAACATGGAATTGAAAAATGGAAAAAATATTTATATTTATATTTATGAAACCTATTTGTATAATAGAATACATAAATTATTCAAGTGGAATAGTTGTGTTTGTTGAAAACTAATTACATATAATATATGGAATCGGATTTTTCACATAAAACAAAGAATGCAGTCAGTGGTACACTGGTATCTTATCTACAAGGAATCAATCGGTTTTTTATGTTAAATGATTCAGTTTGTATTGACCCAATAACGATTACCTAAAGGATGATCTTTAAAATAATATGAACCGTATTCTTCATACATCTGCTTAGTTGTGTAGTACTCGTCAGCATACGATGAGTTCGCGAAATGACGCGCTCCGTGCCATGCGTCCAAATGAGGATTAGCTAGTAAATTGTATTTATAAAACAGTATGAAATATCCACGTAATTCAAATTTCACCAAAGAAAACAGGTTTAAATAAAACGTTTGAATCAAAATATGTTGATATTACAAAATGTATAAATCTTTTCAGATGTGGATAGTAAGACAGCCTGCCATGTAAATTGAGCATAATCAGTATGATCCTGTATAGGATCTACGTTGCTGATTAGTATCACACATATTATCAATGTATATTTATTAACATTATCCAAAAAAACAGGAAATATTGTAGGAAGCAATTTCCTACAGGTGTAACTAAGCTATTCTCTAGACTGTCGAGCACAGAATCTTGGTTTAGTCAGAGTCAGAACAAGTAAGCTGTTTGGCTTGACAAACTTTATCTATTTCTGAAACATAAATTAACACCGTTAGTATACAAAATAAACAGTACAGTCTATCAACACGGGGAAAAACAGAGACATAAATAACATACCGAACAGTAGCTAGAGGATAGGAAAAATGAGTCAACAAGGCAAATATTGTTTTATAGTAAACATAAGGTTGTGATTGGTGAATAAACAAGACGTAGTCATGCAAGGTCAAAAAAAGTTAATGTGGTGGTGGCCGTTTCACTTTGTCATTGCTGAGTTCGTTTATCGATCACACCTTACAAATATCTAGAAACATCAAAAAAGTACCTCAAATGTTTCAGGCTAACACATCGATCTAATTAACAGTGCAGTCACGAATCTACTCTAACAATTCTCGATACAAGAATTAAAAGAGGGCCATATGGTACTAAACTACATTACTCCGCAAGGATTTTATACATTTCAAGACACTGACTACTTTCCAAGGAAATATATATAGTATGCAATTTATAGACATTTCACAAATATTTCAAGAGACCCTGAAAAATATCAAACCTGTTATGGTATATAAATCACACCACGCTCAACTGCGATGATAATACCACTTTCAGTATTTAGAAAATGAATAAAGGAGAGGAAATCTCATCATGCCTATACATACATAATGACTATAATTCCCCAACTAGCTTGCCAGCTGTTTTGTGGTTTGTTAGCTTCGTAAGCAAATGTCCTAACTCGTTTATCACATAAAACTCATACATTTGTGTATGATAATTAACCTATTCCCGATTGTGTTCTTATTTAACTTTCTGTATTAGGGAATTTTTGGTTGATTTGTTAAAACCTTTTAAACTAAGAGTATTCACATTTGAACTAATTGTAATAAAAAATAACGGATCGGAAGATGTATCCTGTATTTTGTTAAAAGAAACTCAACCTTATTTCAACTTACCAGCTACAATAACTTCAATGTTATCCCATTTTGATCCAACAGGTAATAAAGGCCTGATATCGTATCGAATTCGGTCGACAAGACCAGGTAGAGCAGCAACACCACCGGTTAGATATATTCTTTGAGGAAAGCTTGGCTCAGATGAATTATCAAGTAAACGTGATGTATCTCGCAGTACAAACTCTAAACAATCGGAGAGACCAGCTTCTGAACTACCCATAAAACTTGGCTGAAATAAAACTTCATGAGATCTAACATGAAACAAGAAAAGAAGACAACTTAAAAAATACCATTTACTAAAAGAGGGTTTGGCAGTATTTCAGTCAAATGAGATGGGAGTTATTTAACTGGTTTATACCAATCTACCGAAAACCGGCCTTTCTTAGATGTCTACTATGTTTCTAATGTGATATACTGCCTAAAATTCTGTGCAGTGGTAGTGCGCCTTTAACAGTATTATTGAATGTTGAGACAACATTTATTGACATCTCATGGAACTTGTCATATAGTTGTAGCTTCTAAGATTCTGTCACTAGGACACAATGATCTTATGGATAGCAGACCATCTATTGTTTTATTTTCATACACCAAGATCAAATAATGATAAATGACACGAACAGTAATAAAAAAAATAAAAAGGAGGAAACAAGACTGTCTGTATTAGTCTTCGTAGCATGTTTTAGGCTGGTTCTCTTTAAACTACCTTACTTGTCTATATTTATGCCAACTAGCAAACAAAAGATTCGAAACTTATCCCATCCACTTTTTGGGATAAAACGTTTTTTAAGGACCGCTATCGTTTTACCTTGTTATTATTACTACTTATTATCGTAATTCCTATGTGATTTAAGTAGACTGCTCGCCTGTCTCAGTTCATACGTGAGTAACCAATCACATAGGATTGTGAATAAACGAAGTGTGGTACATACTTATTCCTATTTTAGTCTGTTGTTTTCAATTATCAACTTCTGATTTGCTTCTGAAAAAACAAACAACCGATCTGTATTGAAATACTAAACCATCTCACATTTTATAAAAACGAATTCATTTTTATTTTCATCACAATACAAAGGCAATAGATTATTCATCTTATTTTAATTAAAAATAACTGACTTACCGCATTAGTTCTGTATCAACATGGATTTGATAAAATTGATCTAAATCAACTCTTAAATCTGTAACTCCCAAGTCCCTAAAATATTTCAATAATAAAAAATATGAATACTACAAACCAATTTACACTCGCTTAACAATTAATTAGGGTTTTACGAACGAATCAAATGTGTAAATATAATTCACTATATTAAAGACATTCAAAAAAATAAGTTTAAAAAAGAGCTCGTTCTTCATTTCTTTTTAAAAATGGAGGATAGAGAAAAAACCTTACTTGTCACTTTGGTATCATTTTCAGACTATCCTAACGGTAGTATATAATTAATAGCTTTAATTCTATAATGCATATATCTTCAGTCACTTGAACAGTGATTTTGTCTTTTGAAATCTATTTAGTAAATGGGTTTTTTTTAAGCAAATAAT